GCTGGGGAGCCACAGCCCAGCTGGGGAGGTGTGGACAGGACACTGGAGGACGTTCCAGCAGCTCTGGGTTCCATTTTTCACTTTCTGGGCTCATGTTATGGCTGGAGCTAAGTGTGATACCAAAATAACATCCTAATGCCGACGTGCCCCAGGCCTGGCCTGGGGGCCACCAGGGGAGCAGCTCACTGGTGAGGGTGCCACAGGCGGCTAGGGGGAACCCCAGCTGGGCTCTCGTTGCCTCTCCGAGTCTCCCGATCTACCCACCAGAAACAACCTTCCCCCCGAAGCACGGGAGAATAACCCACTGCTCCCCAGCTGCAAGGAGCAGCGGGCAGAGGGTGTTGAGGATGCCAGGCCAGACGTGTTGGTAACATCTGAAGATGAGAGAGCGGCTCACGTGCCCCCAGCCCCCGCCGACTCACAGTCCACGGTCCACCGGAGCGCCCAGCCGTGGGGCCGCAGCAGGTCATGCACGGCTTCTAGCACCGTCTGCAACTTCTGTTTCTGCCCAAGTTCGGACTGCGTCACCTCGGCCACGTTCAGCTTGCAGTCCGCCAGGTTCTCTGCAATGAGAAGGCGAGCACAGGGCAAAGGTCAGAGCAGCTGGACGGACTCAGAATCCGCTCACTGGCTGGAACGAGGTCCCCACAGTGGACCGATTATCATGCAGTCATGGAGGAGTTTTGTAGTGTTGAGCCAAGGAAGCCAACTTTCAGGGCATCTGCATTCCTTAGGAAATTACTCCAGGGCCAGCTCACAGCATGGCGGTTAGAGTGGCAGGATCCCACATGTCCAACTTCAGGATTCATGTCCCGGAACAGAAAGCTTGAAAAAATACCAGGTGAGCGAAGCACCCGCCTGAGGGACGGCTTCAATAACGGAGCATCGTCACCAATGGCCGAGTCTCCGAATCAAGGAGGAACTCAGCCTGGACTATAGCCAGTCACACTCAGAAAGGAAGGAAAGCCAGCGGCCCAGGGGCAGCTGCCCAGCGACAGCGTCCCTGCGGACAGCACCAGCCGGAGGTCAATGTGCCCCTCCAGCCTTCTGGGTTGAAAGCGAGTGTCCATCTTCACAAACGAGCATTTCAAAGACCTCGGGAGGTCCTAGCCCGTGACAGTGGAGAACGCTGCACGGACACTGCCATGTGAGGCACCAGTGTCTGACCCGACACCTTCTGTAATACACTGGCGATTATGGAGCAATCCTGGTTAACACAGACGCTCACTTCTGCCCATCGCGATTCAGCCAGGTAACGAGCCATCTCCATGCCGCCCGCAGCCTGGGCCCTAGACGCCTGCGGCACCTCGGACAGGCACCTCGACGCCACGTGGCAACCCCCGCGCTACTCCTCAGGGTCTCCTCACCTACCAGGTGCCCAGGCCGTGAACCCAGACATGGGCCTGATTCCTCACGGAGCTTTCGCCTCCGGAATATCTCCCAGCCTCACTCCCACCCAGGTCCGAGCCGTGCCGTCTGCCACCTGGGCTGCTGTGATGCGTCCATCGATCTCTCGGCTCCAACTCCTGCCCTTTCTCCCTAACATCCTGCACCCAGAAGCCCCAGTGACCTTTTAAAATGCTAGCTCACACTGCGTCACAGCCCTGCTCAAACCTGCAGGGGCCTCCACTGTCGCCTGGAATAAAAGCCTTTGTCTAGCACGGCTGGACCCGATGTGGCCATTGTCTTCCCGGGCTCTTGTCGTGACCTGCTCCCTCCCTCACCGCCACCCACACCCCCAGCCCAGCCTCCCACGGCTCCTTCAACACAGCAGGCTCCTCTGGCTTCAGAGCCCTCACTGCTCAGATGGCACCTTCCCCGGGGGTGCCCGTGACGCCCGCTCCTCGCCCCACACCCCGCACGCTCTCTTCTGCCAAGTCCCACCACTCTCTTTGAGCGTCTCTTTATGTTTCAGGTTGAACCTTCCACCCTGTCGTACTTCCCTGCCTTCCCTCTACTAGAACGTGTGAGGGGCTGGGGAGGAAGGGGGACCCTCGCCTGATACCCACACTGTGGGGACAGTGCGTCTCCGGAGCTGAGGCCCACACTGGTCATGGGAGGCCGATGAACATGCGTTCAGCAGAGAAATGACTGAACGACTGAATGACTAAAACAAACATCAAATCCCTTCTTACTAATGTACTTCTCAAGGACCAGCTGAAGGAGGGCAAATGATGTGGGTTCAGGCATCTCTCTGTCCTTCAGAGCGAGTCATGTGACACAGCTCCCCTTCCCCGTAATCCCAGCGGGTTTCCTCCCAGACGAGAAGGTCTATGAGCTCCATGAACACTAAGCTCTCATGCCCCGGGGGAAGCCAGGGTCTGGTAGAGGACACACCACAGCCACAGTCCAGGTAGCTGTGGACGCTGCACTCCTGCGCTCCAGGGTCAGCTGTCCCTACTCCACGGGTAGGGAGCCCAGCCCCCAGGGGAACCCCTCCAGGGAGCACACCCCACCTGCATTCTGTCACTCTCCTGAACAGCACTCCCTGACCCCTAACCCACTGCCACCCTGCAGCTGCGTCCCAGGTAGCCTCGCCCAGCCCACCAACCTCTTGTAGGAGTCGCCCCGCTGTGGAGGACACCTGACCCCTCACCGAAGCAGTGACTCTCCAGGGCAGTCTGTTAGGAGGCCCTTCAGTCAGGACAGGGCTTGCCTGTGAGACCCACCAAAGGGCGGAAATTAGTGAAAAAGGACACTCCAGACAGTGGACCTCCTGCCCCCATGCCAGAGGTGGGGGGTGGCATCTACTGTTGACCTCTGAGAGCTGTGTGATCCCAAGGTGCGAAGGACAAGTCCTCGAGGCCGCCCCGCAGGGGCCCCGGGGACCCTGAAAACATCTGAGGGCATTGTGAGGACTGACGACTGCTCCAGTCGGCTGGGCCCCGCTGGGGTCTCCGGGTGGGCCAAGGTCCACCCACTCACAGACTCTCACTCACCCGTTCTGTGCTTTCTGCCGCCAGAGCCCACAGTCTTCGCAGGCAGTGAGACAGAAGGACTGCCCACTGACTGCGTCCACTAGGTCTACCATGTTCCCGTTGGCGGGGGTCTCCCGGGGTCCCACGGGGAACAACGCCAGACAGCTCTTACTTTCTCCTTCTTTCGCCTTTTATCCTCCCAGCCACCACTACTGCGCTCAGGGCTGCACGGGTGCCACCTCAGTGAGGTGACCGGCGGAGGTGCGGCAGTAGCTCAACCTGACCCACGTGGGAACGTCCTGGGTACGCATCCTGGGCCTCCTCGAGTACATCTGGTGTGCACGGCTGTGATCAGGCTAGCTGAGGCTGGGGTGGGTCACGGCACCTGGTTCTAGTTGGGGGTTCTCTCTCTCTCTTTCATGGAGGGAATAAATAGAATTTAAATTTAAAGGGGGTGGGGCCTGTCTGCAACCATAGTCTCCAGGCCTTACCTTTTCCTCCTCGCTCAAATGCACAGAAGGTCACCCCCACATGTGGCCAAAATCCTTCCCATCCAGGCCACTAGGGACCCTTCAGTGCCACATCCAATGGCCCACACGTTTGAGTGACACCCTGGAGTGTCGCAGCAGGGAGGGCTCCTTTTCTCTTTTTAATGACAACATTACAGTATGTTGGCACATTGACAAGAATGGTCCAGAAAAGAGGACGTAGCCACAGAGAAGACCAACCTGGGAGGCCAGAGGGAAGGCTCCAGAGCTGGGGAGTCCTTTCTCTCCCTCGATACGTGGAAACTGCAAGGAGGAAGCTCAGAAATCTGAAGTCAAGAACTCCAGCTTTCTGGGAGAGGCCGTCCCCATGGACTAGAGGTTAAGGGAACTGGATCCCACATGGCCAACAGGGGCTCAAATCCTGAACCCAGCAGCTGGAAAAACACCAGGTGCATGTGCGTGCAAGCCCCAAATCCCGACAGGGCAGGGAAATGGAGGAGGGGTCATAGCAGAACAGCACCCCACTGGAGGGTGTTTTCTCCTTTCACCTGTGTCTCTCTGGTGAGCACACAGCAATTAAATAATAATAATAATAATAACAACTCTGGTCTCTTCGACATTGGTGGAAAGTTATTCACTACGGCATCGTTGGCGATATAAAAATACTAGCCACACTCAGACGCCCATCCACCGGAAACTGGTGAACCAGCCAGGAACACCCGACAGAGCACCGAGGTCGGAGCAAACTGCAAACGCAGGTGGCAGCACAGCGCTTCCCGGAACAGGGCAGCAAGTTAAAGGAAGCAAGGCGTGGGAAAGGGTACGCGGAACAAGCCCCCGCTCCTGCCAGGAGCAAAGGGAAGGGACGTGTGTGTGCATGGCTTTGCAGAAAAACACAAGGACAAGAAACGGGTGCCTGCCGGCGTGCAGGGGTGCGGGCAGCCCCACAGCTTTCAAGGGGTCGAAGAAGCAAACCCTGAGGCTTTTGACTTTGAGCCATGTAAATGCTCTACATTTGAAAGTTAATAATATCAAATCAAACCAAATTTAAAGTACTAAATAGAAAGCTGAAACTCGAAAACTGAATACAGACAGGAAAAAAACTGACATCAAGTCAGTGACGTGACTACTCCAAGGGAACGGCATTAATTCAGAACTCTGACTACACACCCTTGTGGGCACATCTGATAGACAAAAGCGATGGCACAGAAATCTAGGATTTACTTAGCAGGTTGGTAGTCGAGAGAGGTAATTCTGGAGCTATTTTTGTGTGTTACCCGATAAAGAGCAAATACACTTTTAGAGCCAAGGTTCCACTGTGAGTAAGACACAGAATGTAAGATGAGGCGGAAACCTGTGCTGAACTGAATTAGCAGTGTCCATGTGGGCTCGTTTTTTAAAAGAATGTATTTTCTAGGGCTGCTCCTATAGCACGGTGTTGAAGCACTGCACACAGGAAGCCAGATCCCCCGTAGCCAACCAGAGTTCAAGTCCCGGCCCTGGAGACTGGAAACGCACACAGGCATGCCTATGCATGCCCAGGATCCTGACA